CGAATCGTACGGTGTCGAATAATTTGGTGTCGAATAAATCTGTGTCGAATCGAGCGGTGTCGAATCGTACTGTGGTCAAACGGAACCCGCCCGCGCGAGGCCATGGTTTTGTGGCGGTGCGCTGGGGGGAGGTAGTGGTGTTTAGTTGCTACTTTTCTCCTAACGCAAGCAGGGCGGAGCTCCGCGAATCCCTCGATGCTCTCTCCGAGAGCATAGAGAGGGTGGGTGGGGAGTCCCACCTGGTGCTGGGCGACTTCAACGCCTGGTCCACACGGTGGGGCTCCGCCTCCACGAATGTGCGGGGAAGGGAGGTCGAGGGATGGGCAAATAGTGCCGGGTTGACCCTGCTCAACCGAGGAACGGTGGCGACGTGCGTCCGGCCCCAGGGGTCCTCCGTTGTGGATCTGTCCTGGGCGTCGGCGGCTGTGGCCCCGCTGATCCGGCGGTGGAGGGTTCTCCGAGGGGTGGAGACCCTGTCGGATCACCGATACATCGGCATGTCCATGGTCGATGAGGAGGGGGGTGCCCGCTTGAGGTATGTTTTTCCTCGGTGGAATGGTCCGGGGATCAGCGTGGGTTGTCGCCGGGGACCGGGATGGGTCCTTGGCGGAGAAGGTCGAGTGGCTGGCCCGTGTGTGTGCTGACGCATGTAACGCGTCGATGGCCCGCGCGGGTCGGCCGGGACCTCGCAGGGCCATGTACTGGTGGTCGGCGGAAATCACAGATCTCAGGACACGGTGCATGGTACTGCGCCGGCGATACACCCGGGCACGAGGGCGCCGTCAGTATGACCCGGATGCAGTAGAGGCCTTGCGCGTCCACCTGCGCAAGGCACAGCGCGCCCTCTGTCAAGCCATCATGACGGCAAAAGGGGCGGCGTGGAGGAATCTCACGGATACCCTAAATAGGGATCCGTGGGGTTTGGCATACCGGGTGGTGCTGGCGTGCCTGAGACCATCCGGCCCGGGGATAACAGAGCTGCTGCCGGTGGATGCGGTCCGGAAGTTGGTCCAAACTTTGTTTCCGCTCCGAGAGGAGGCCCGTCCGGGCCCACCGGGCCGCATACCGTGGCGAGATGAGCTCGCCGTGGGGGCGGAGGAGCTCCGCGAGGCGTGCCGTCGTCTGCGGGGGCGGCGTACTGCCCCGGGGATGGACGGGGTCACGTGCGAGGCACTGGGACGGGTGGCATCCTTGGCCCCGGAGGTGTTGCTGCGTTGTTATACGCAGTGCCTCCGGGAGGGGTGCTCCCCGCGGGCGTGGAAGGGGGCCAGGTTGGTGCTAGTCCCCAAGGCATCCCGCCCGGGAGTTGCCCCCTCGTCCTATAGGCCGCTATGCCTCTTGAACGAGGTGGGCAAACTCTTTGAGCAGGTCTTGGCGACCCGCATCGAGGGGGTCGTGCGGAGGAACGGGGGCCTGTCGGACCGACAGTATGGGTTCCGACCGGCGCTCTCCACGTGTGATGCGGTACTCCGTGTCCGGGAGATCGCCGGGGCCCACCTGGCTCGGGGGAGGACGTGCGTTGCGGTTAGCTTGGATACCCGCAACGTGTTTAACTCCCTGTCCTGGGGGGGCGTCCGGGCGGCTTTGCGGGATTGGGGTCTCCCTACTTACCTGCGGGCCGTCCTGGACGACTACCTTTCGGACAGGTATGTCTATTATCTCTGCCGGGACGGGGAGTTGAGGTCCCACGCTGTCACCTGCGGGGTGCGACAGGGCTCTGTTCTGGGGCCCCTGCTGTGGGACCTCACTTATAACGCGGTGTTGCGGATTCGGCTGCCGCCGCACGTGGACATCGTATGCTACGCCGACGACACACTTGTGTTAGCGGCGGGCTGCGATGTCCGGGAGGCTAGGCTTTGCGCGACCCTTGCGGTGGCCGGTGTGTCGGAGTATATCTCTACACTCGGCCTCGCCCTGGCCGCCAACAAGACGGAGATGATGGTTTTCCGCTCTCCGGAAGGACGGCCCGGAGATCCGGTTAGAGTGTGGGTTGGGGAGGCCCAGGTTGTCTCGCGCACATCTATGCGCTACCTGGGCCTCCTCGTAGATCAGGAGTGGTCCTGGAAGGATCACTTTGAGTATGCGGCAGAGAAAGCCGGACGGATGGCGTCGGCACTGTTTCGCCTGCTGCCGAATGTTCGGGGCCCTGGGGAGGCCGCGAGGTGGTTGTATCTAAGCGTCGTGCATTCTGTTTTGATGTACGGCGCCCCGGTCTGGTGGGAGGCGCTTGGTCGGGGCCGTCTTGGGGCTCCGTTCAGTCGGGTGCAGAGAATGGTGGCTCAACGGGTGGCCCGGGCCTACCGTACTGTC